AAAAAGGTGTATACCTGCCGTCGGATCGGTTTTTCATTGAAGCAAGATCCGTGGCGCGCGAGTACATACGAGAAATATGTATATGTTCATATGCATCTTAATTCTTTCATTCACATCGTTCCATTCTGTTCGAGTGAACTTCTGCCCCGAAATTCTTTTCGTGTTCCCGTCTTCGGCTATTTCACTTCGGGGACGTGCAGAGCAGACGAAACACGTCCCAAACGTTGAACCCCCCGTGTTTTCTTTTCGCGGAACAATCCCGATGCTTCCGACGCGTCGCGCGAATCCCCGCGAAGCACGTTTCGCGCGTAACCCTCGGAGCGGAGCATTGTCGCCGTTAGATGATAAGTAAAAAAGGTAGACGCGAAAAAGTTTATAGAAGAGTACAAAAAGGGTTTTCTCGATTTTAAGTTAAACGTGAGTGTTTTGCGTTTCGTATTTCGTATACGTTAAGAAACGTATTTACCTGTAAAGAATATCCTTTCTTTCTTCCACAGTGCGTAAAACTGTGTGCAGTTATACATGTTGGTTGAGTAAGGGTGGGTTTTATGGGCAGTTGCGTGGGAGGGAGGGTGGGAGGACAGGAATGGTGTGGGATTAGAGAGGTTGTGGTTGCGCAGATGAAGTAGAAAGACGAATCGGACAATGTACCTAATGTATCTTCGCTGTAAGATCACTTTCTCAGCACAGTTATTTATTCTACGATGACTGACGACGATCGTCGGCGGATCGATCAATCTCGATCTCGCCTTTTATCCTATTTCTAATCTCTTGTTGCACCCTTATTTATTGATCCACGCGTTCTTTCTTTTTTTTTCTTTTTTTTTTTTTTTTTTTTTTTTTTTCTATCGAACTGTCGCACTTCGAATATTACAATTAACAAGTTGTCGTTAATGTTTTTTTTTTTTTTTTTACACGGTAGTTGAATCTTTTGTTAGATGTACGCTTTTACGATCTAATAAGAGAGACCACACACATTCCACACTCCGTACGTGGTGCAAACTAATTAAGTTTTTACCTAAGGTATTTTAAGCATCAAATGCTCGCTTATTTTTATAACTATTTATTTTCAGAGTAATTAATAAGTATCTACTGCTAGAAACTATTCTTTCGTCACTCGTTAGGTAGAACATATATAAATGGAGAAGAAAAGAAAAAAAGAAGTAGATAGTCCACCGAAACGTGGTACACAGAAAGAGGAGGGAGAATATCGGACGGTATTTCGTCCATAACGTGTGTGCGTGTGTGTGTGTGTTTCACGGTATATGGAACGAGATATACGGTAGCTCGTTAAGTTTCTGGATCGCGCGAAATAGGAAACGATACGTACCCCGATACGTACGAAGTTCCTCAGTGTTTTTCTTCGCGGCGTTGCATAACGTACAAATTAATTTCTTCCGAAGTAAGCACGCGTTCACGTGCGTATCATAGAAAACCCGAAGGAAGGAGGAGGATTGTTGCCAATTGTGTTTCTCCTTGGCAAGTTTTA